CATCTGATATTTACTCTATATGTTTGATTTTGACAGACGGCGGCCGGTAATTGAGGTAACAACTCAGGAGGAAGCTGCTCCAACAAGCGACAGGAACCGGGCAAACCCTGGGTTGTATATGTACGAATAAAAGTTACATTATAGGAATTTTGATGAACCGGAAACGTTTGCTCGGCCTCCTAAAATATATTAACTGCTAAATAAAGATTCAAGGAATTGTTACCTATTATACTTGTAAGTAATGCAGTTGACCATTGCGTGCGTAACGTCATTTGCAGTTCCGTAAATTGCGTTATCAGAAATCAGGCGAAGATTTATTACACACGACTAGGTGTCTATCTACTATCTACACACGTCTATAATTTGTGCCCGGAGACGATTGCCTTTTGAAGTTAACTGCAATTAGCCCTGTTGCCTTCAGTATGTTCAAGAGAGAGAGCGAGAGAGAGAGAGGCGGGGGGGGGGGGGGGTAGGTAAAATGGTTGACCAGATTTAACTATCATTCCAATAGAGTTAGCTGGTCAGATCTCGAACTTCATCACTTCTTGTTTTTAAGACATTCGTACTCTCACCTGCTTAAACTACCCATGAACTACTGAACCATTGAAGCTGATATCTGAATATACGACGATATTATCTGCGTAGTAGATGTCTTTAAGGGGCAGATCTTTCTTGTGTTTTAGCCACAGAACCAGCAAGTAATTAAGAGCATACTTACAATCAACAAAAACTAGTGGTCGGGTCACTCGTATTGGGTGCTTGAACCAAGGGCCATCGCTCACTATCTAACAAGTGGCAGTTAAGCTAACAAGAATACATAGAATTTTGTATCAAAGGTAACTTTGGTTGGCACGATAACCTATTTGTAATATCCTCAAACCGAATTTTCTGCGTGATAAGTACCAATCTCGATCACGGGAAGGTGTTTTTCCAAGTCCCTTAAAAATCATCTAGCTAGAAAGATTACAGCGGTACACGAGTAATCTAAAAGGCGAGTCAAGTAGGAATAATTCTTCATAACGATTTCCTTCTATTAATAAAGCTAGATGAAGAGAGGCTTATGCTTAAGGATGAGTTCTGATATGACTTGGGACAAATTTTTTGGCACAGTAACTAGACTAATAAGGTTTTTGGTAAAAAGACATATAGCCGTTATGAGCAGGCTGTTTCAGGTACGGGAAGTTCTATGAAAATGGATATTCTCTACCATATCTGACCCTAAAGCTTACATTTTATTAAGAAATATAATTGCTGCCTAATAAATTGAAGAAGCTTTTTTCACGTTCCCAAAATGTCACTTCAAAAGTTGTCGTATGGCTTGGATGTACGGTACTTCTTGGAATACTTCTAGATGCGAACAGGGATTTGAGGTGACTGATGAGAACACTTAATGACTAACGGCGAAGGGATTTTTCTGTTTTTTTTTCTCGCTTCCCCGTATCCATCTAAATAAATAGCCTCTTGTATAACTGTATATATATATATATATATATATATATATATATATATATATATAGTCGGCCCATCTTCGTACCTAGCTGAAAGTATACCTTTAGTCCTTTGATATATGTGTATTAGTTGAAGCGATTTTGACAGGAACTGTACGGCAACACAATAATCTACATTAAGTTAGGATTTAACGTCTCTCACAGAGATTTCGTCAGCTCGTATCTTGGGGTTTACAGAGTCCCTATTATTGCGCATCGTCCAACTGCTTAACTCATGTTAGACCGGAGACACTGAATTTAACTGGAACATGAGGGGACACTTCGTTTTGGTTTTAATTGAAAACACAGTACTAACATCAGAGAAATGGCTACGTGTTATTGTCTACCCCGCAGCTTGTTGAATTACTCAAATGGTAGGCGTATGAGCAGATATACAGGACAATTATGATGCCTACTAGTACTGCAGCAGTTCAAGCTAAAAAGCTTCAGATTTATTGATTTTCTATCAGTGCCTTAAGCGAACGCAAATAATCGCGAAAATTTGGAGCTTTACTTTCAGGTCCGAAGGGCATAACTTGCTTAATTCTGAAATCATCTTTATATTATTGGCGTCTGTTTATTTCAAATGCTGGACCAATACTAACGAGTACTTGAGATAACTCACTATGTGTCCAGTGCTTCAGTTTCGCCTTTTTGATAAGTTTTAATGGTCGCAAAAAAATCAGTATAGATAGAAATTTTCCCTTATAAAAGTTTCTCTAATATATTATTTCTTTCACTGTTTAGTCCCTGTAAAATATTTCCCTATTAAAAATAAATTTTTGAAAAACTTATACGAACCTTCAATATTAGTGTGTTGACAGGTGTTAGTGGTTAAGGATTTTTCATATGAAGTCTTCAACACCAAATCTTATATACGCGGGTTCTGTTGCTTAAAAGTAACAATCTCGAAAGTTATTCTTGTCCACTAAATCGTCACTTTGTCAACGACATTGAAACAGCTTGTTGAGAAAAAATGTTGAAGGACAACGGTACTTGGTATGCATGCCGTGGCGAATGGTCAGAGCGGTCTTGCTGATCAGAAAATATGATGGAAAAAGTGACCACGAAAACGCGCCTATCAGATAGACGGCAACCCGGTCGTTGCACGACTTTTTCCATAACACGCTCCCAAGAAAAAAGTGCCTATGCTAATTCACTTTGGCAGATCGGTGCAGATCGAAGATCAGTGATCTAATCTGATACGCGACGACTGTAGCCAATTCTCCGTAACTTAGCTTCTCCTCAGAAAGGACAAACTGAGTCCTGGAATTCAGGATTTCTCTTATTTATTCGAAGCAGCCACAAATATAGCGCTCTACAGCGACTGGATGAAAATGTTGTTTGATAAGCAGGGAGAATTCCGGAGGGATAGGAATGGACTTACAGCCGATCCCTTCAATGGAACGACAGAGTCCGGTCAGTCTTAGTCGATTGCTCACCTTTTTTTTTAAACGCAATACTTTTGGAGTCACGGTATACGTTAAACGCATGATATTCGCCTTTTTTAGGCCTTCTGCGACGGCTGCGTTTCTAATATATATAGTATTCACGATAGCCAGCTAATGATTCAGCGAGTCGATGTATCATGCAGGTATGTATACACATGCGCATCGAAGCTGTTATGTAAGTCATGCATCAGATAGGATTGTATATATACGCTATCAGACTTGGCACAGAACATGCCTAGGTGAAATGTGCAATTAGAAAAATATCCCTCATTCACTCAGCTATGTCCAACTATAAAATTTAGCAGACCAAGGCTTTCATCTACATAAAAAAAGAGAGATGGCATCCGCGCTACCAAGACACGGCTTCTGTCTGTCCAATACAATATCATTGATATGAATTGAGTATAGATTCTATACCGATATACTACTTATATTCTAAATGCATTCAGTGCCTGCCTCCATTGAACGACAACAAATTCTCTTTGAGCAAATTAGAAAACTTAGTCCTACCAGTTATTTCAGTCAGCTCTACTGCCACCCTCCAAGGGCCCGTCACTCGATGTCGTCAAAGGTACCAGCCCTAAACGAGCTTTGCGATGATTAAAACCTCGCTTATATTATTGGCGAGAACTGAGAAAAGGAGAGAGTTGAAGGCCAAGCCGATGCGCGTTCACATTCAATACATGAGTTTTCCATTAAGCTTCTACTAATGCTGAAGACGCTGCAAAGTTGCTAGTTCCCTAGAAACCATTTTCTGTAGCTAGACGGTGCCCGTTGACCCGACTACTTACCTCGGTCAGTAGCAAATCGACCGGTATGGGTACTGATGTGAGCGGCATCCTCACGCTCTTCGCGACTGCTCCTAGTGCTAGAGACAGACCGAAGCCATAGAAGTCACAGTAAGGTGCAGTAGTAGGAGGGCACATAGCGGAGATGGACAACCTGTATAAAGCTGCACATCTCAGAAATCGAGGGTCTGCGAGGAGGGTTACTTTATGGTAAAATTGACACGACGTTGCTGGCGTCGAAGTATAAGACCATTCGAATGTATCATCATTGAGAATCAGAAATACAATAAAGCGTCTCCTTTTTTTATCCTCTGCCTTCTTTTTCAAGCCTAAACCCGTTACGTCCGCCGGCTCCGCCGCTCTCGTGCTCAATACCTCATTCAGTATCGCCCCAGTATCCCGCCTAAACTGTTCTTTCCTTACTGGCAGCAATGCACTCGATGTTGGACAGCGAAAACGGACGGAGACTATATTGACGAACATATACACCGACCATCTCTGTATATGTCATTGAGTTAAGGCAATCACCTTTCTCCTTTCCTGAATCTCGTATAATCGTTAATGGATAGATGGAATCTTAGTTACTACTGATGGTTTTGTACGGATGGTAGTGCTAATAGCAGCGGCGGAGGGGTGCATAGTTTGGGGAAGAACTCGATGAAGGAAACAACGCGTTCGAAGGAAGCGTGGAAGGCTTTGTTAAACGAGATTGGATCGTTAAGAAATTTTCGACAGACCCTTTAGGACCCTCGAAGGTATAATAGTGTTGCTAGTGGCGGTTGTAAAAGCCGCAAAAGTACTGCTTGAAGGAACGTTTTCTATTTTAGCAGCACTCAAACAGAATTTACTAACATGTGTCTGCTTTTCCTGTGCTGAATACGATTGTAAGGTGACGAGAATAGCTGTCCTAAGAATGGGGGCAATCAACTTTGGCTGATGTTTCATCACAAATCATAGCGCTCATTGCCCCAAAGCTTTTCGCTTCCACATGAACGCAGGCTGTGCTTGGCTCGTAAACAATTGGTACAAAAACTGAGCTGTCCATGGGTTTAGAATCTATAGGCTTATTTGGGTATTTGTTGTATTAACTTATACCTTCATCTTAGCCAGAAAACTAGGAACGAACTAGGGTCAATACGCACTAAACGATAACAATATCTGAAGTGTCATTAACTCATATTAAAACACATGTCATTCGAAGAAAGATTCTATGGTAACACTTGTGTGGAGTATTTATCTAGACAAAATCAATTTTCACAAAATTATCCAAAACACGTGATTCGATCGCAATCCACCGAACGTACACGTGCAGTTATAGACACTCCATACTAGGTCCTTACAGCTGCTCCTCTAATAGCCTATTGTTTACTTCATTTTATAGAATAAGTCTGGAAGCAGTTTAGTATGTCCTGTAAGTATGATTCACGTCCATTGCCTTATCGTTGGAGCACATACACCAATTTGACAAAACAATAGTATACGCTATTATGCCCCTAGTCAACATCTCATGTAGGCTTATGCCATTTCTTATAGCGCTAGCCGAGCATGCTCTACACAGTGCTGGGTACTGTGTAGAGCATGCTCGACTACAGATTTACAGTCCATACGCTTATTTACTACGCTGGTTCTCCCCTGGTACCTATCTAGGCTCGCCGCCCGGCCTCACGTACGTACCTGAAGGCCAGGTTAGCTGTTGGCGCACCGGATTACTGCAGATTCTACAAGCCTCATTTTAACGCATGGGTTTAACATGTATGTGTCGACAACCGACTGGCCAATGACGGCGTTCTAGGATTGTTCTATATTGTTAAGGTTACTATTTGAGCTCGGTATTGCTTGCTCTGCCCATGAACATATACACCCTATCAAAGGAATGGGTATATGCAACTGGTGTTGCACATACCGACGGGTACGCTTTCTCGAAAACGGCGATGTCGTGATTGGTAGTAATACAGGTTCCCGGAGAAAGGAAGGGCGGCCGATTATGTCGCGTTGGGAAGACTACTTCCGCTGCGGCCTGGCTCGACCCTACAGGGCACAACGTTCGACTGCACATGGGTTCGTTGGCACCAGTGTTCTGCGTCTGAAGGTCCAGATGAGTGCCTTAAAACAACCAAGAAAGACATGAACATCTGCATTTGCGTACCGAACGACGGCGAGAAAAGGGGAAAGCAATGCCTTATGGATATGTGCCATAAACTCGCATCTTATCGTAGTGTGAGAATAAATGAGGGAAATCCGTTATTTATTACACCAAAGGTTTAGATTTGTCATTCACGGCGGTTACATATTTACACAAGGTTGAGAAGCCTCTAGGTCCGTGCCGGGAAGGGTTAAGGCTGTGTTGAACAAGTGCTGGCGTACTATATGTGTCCTTTAAAGTGTCATAAATGCTAAAGAAAGCAAGACAATCGGAAGATAAGGATGGCGTTGGCGTCATTTCAGTGGTGCCATGTCGTAATTTTTAAAGCGTTTGTTCTGATTAATGTGTTTTTTCTGAGGGTTGTATAGGCTTTGTTTATATATTTAGCTTACGAATGTCGTTATCAGTAGCGTCAGATAAATTTACTAAAATTTGATAGAGCTGCGAGTTTGTTTTTAAAGATGATTAGCTACACAGATACAGTTCCCCAAGTGTTTGTTCTCGCCTTTATTATTCTGGTTTTATTTAAACATTAACCTTGTTAACCGAATTAACTTGTTTCTTCTCACTGACAGACTCATTTAGAAGGCTGTAGTGCAGATCCTTTTTTTCGCGCACTATTTTATATTAGCGTATATGTGTGCTCGGTCGTTGATCTGCCTATAATCGTATGAACAGACATCTGTATGTGTCGTTCTATGAGTGCACTGAATTTGTCCTTACCGTGCTGTGCATCTTCTGCACGCAGACGTTCATACCGATATCATTAATTATCCCGTCAATTTCCAATAAGACTTCAATATGGATGGTGTGGAAGTAAGTATCGGTCAGGGACAGCCGCATCCGTGTGTTAACTGTGAACGTCGAAGGTCCGCTCTGATGACCTGACGTTCAGCTGGCGCCTGATGGCTTTGAGTGTGCCGACCCGATCATAATCTGCGAAGCAGCGGGTTCGGCCCAAAGGTAGACGAAAAAAACAAGATTTATGAAGCGTTGACTTTTCAGAGAAATGGGTCTCTCGTTGAAAATAGTGGAAGCTTCCACCGAAGGAGGGTGGGGGTATGTGAGCCACCAGCTTTGTGAATGCTTTCGGAGAAAAACGAATTTTTAAACTTGTTGATTGGACTCATATCATAATTTGATGCATCTCCTTGGAAGCTAAAAACTAATCAACAGTGGTTCTAATTTTGTCTGCTAACCTGAAATGGGGCCATGGCTATTTTCTGGTGAAATCTCTTCAAATGTCTCGTATTATGATATAATTTAGAGCAATATTACAATGCATAACGAATATACGGCTGGCTCCTACCTTATGCCTATCTGCCTCGAACATTACCTGCCTGGAGTCCTGAGCAATGCATTTAAATTATACGCTAACGTTTTCAGATTAAAATATGCTTTATGAGAATGTGCAGAGAAACTAGGACTTTTCAATTGGATAAATATCGGAACGCCAGTGTTTGTTTATCGGTTAACCTTTTCGCCCCGTAATTGCAGCCTCCTATCGATTAAAAAAACGATTGCCCCTTGATAGGGTCTCTTTAATTTGCAAACCAAATTGACAAGCCTCGCCAATTGCCATGTTTAAAATAATGGTTACTTTTCGCTTTTTTCTGCTGGGTTTGCCGGAACACATCGCCAACATTAGTATGCGCACAACGAAGTAGCATAATGACCCAGCCAACGAAAACCGAGGTCCTGGCAATCGTGTGTCTGTTAATTTAGTTGTGCGCTCGAGACCCAGACAAAGTTGTGGCTAGCTCGCTCTAAGCGAAATTTTCCACAGCCTCGACCAAGTGCGCATAGGGCCCAAACAACTGTTAATGCCACTAATGATCTCCTAGTTCATGGTTCTCCCATTTCTACTGCCAACTCCCAGAAACCATATAAGTTCAGTGTTGACGTGTTTTTCCCGTTTGGCTAGCAATCTCATCTTCAACTTGGACGGTACCTCTTGCCGAAATCGGTTATGTTCGAGTATGTATCTGTGTGTTTTCAAGGGAACCACTTAAAATAGGTAAAAATAGACTACAAGTAGACTCTAAGGTCACGCGTCAATAATATTACAAGACTACGAATGCCAATGTACCTATGTACACAGTAACTGAGTAACTTCTATGTACTATGACCACGTTACATTCTATCGAGGTTAGGCCCCAATCAACGTGATAAATCAATTTTAGTAGGCTTCAGCTTGTACGGCGACAAATACTTCGTACATTTACGAGATTTTCTCCCGGCGATTTTCGTCGTTGTGTTTTTGTCTTTGAACTCCCCATTTCAATGGAACAGCACGTAGGACACCATGCATGGTTGAATGGATACATCTATTCAGCCATTGCATAGGTGGCGATGATCTCAGCCTGCAAAAGAACCTTTTAAACAACGTATACAGAAAAACGAAATTTAGTACCAACTGCTCGCAGAGGAGTGAGAAAAGTACTCCTGCGTCCGTATCAACAATCCCTTATGCTTTTAGAAACTTTTTATATTTAACAACCATAGCAACTAGCTGTACCGTACAAGCAACACGGTTTCGTCTAGCCGGTATAACCTATGGCTTCATTATACCAATCTGTTCTTCGCTTTGTTCTGGGTCACCAACAATGATTTGATGGCGGAACAGGGAATTTCATGTCAGGCGAAGACAATGCCCTGCTGGTGCAAGTCGCCTTGACACCTTGACTGTTCAAATATGCATACGTCCTATCGTTTAAAGGCTATGGGATAAACGCGAATGAAGACTGTCTGTTCTATGGAGCCAATAAGAAAGCTTATGCTAGAACCATAGGCTGAGCAAAGATCAGGTAAGAAGCGATACTCACCGCGTCCCATTCAGTCACGAATTGGCATGATCAATTGATCTTCCCTACTGGTTCTCCGTACGTAGTAATCGCGAACGCCGTGATCGATTTTGTCACTTTAATGAAAACATACTACGCAGAGAAGCAGGTGTATTTGAGTACTGGAGATCTTCACCGGTGTGATACCCATTCCTCACGCATATTTATTATGTCTGTCAATAACATGACCTACCTTATATACTTATGAGGGTATTGATATACTTAATGTCAAGTTTATATCAAAAAAAGAAGAACAGTAGATCAATGACTGTGCAGGACTTCTGTGTAATAGTAATGTTAGCAATGTTTATACTTATAATTATTACTAATATATATAATATAATTATAACATGCATATCTTGCGCAAGCAACGCTTTCATTATCATCCGCAAAGCTCGCTTTATTTAACCCAGTACTTTGATAATTGTTTTTCTTAGCTAAGCGCAATACTGAGCTGACCTACGCGCTCATACTCGCTCAATATCGCTCATAACGCTCATAATCTAGAAAAATCAAGTAAGAACAGTTATTAAGATGGAGATAGAAACAAAGCGCAAGCTGTGGTACCGTAAAACAAGTCAAGACAATTGAAATTAACAATTGCTAAAGTTCGATACTTCTTAAAAAAAAACCAGAAGAGTAAAACTTACGGCCGCAACAAAACCCGTTCAGGAAGGTAAACAATAGCGGATAGGATACGCAGACACTGTGCCAGGATGCCGCAGATGCGACACGTAAGTAGCCTGCAAATTGGGGGTGTATTTATACCGGGAAAATTCGGCCCTGCGCGCTAACTTTAAGTTGTACAACGACCTCTAAGCGAGACGTGCACTCACGAAGTTAGATACAGATACTTTTACTCGGATCTCCGCTGGAAAACGGCGTCCATCCAAACCTTGTTGCAACACAATCCTTCAACTGCAAGTAAGCAAACGGTAGGACGGGCTGATAACAAAAACGCATAACGTTTTCGCTTTGCCGTAGATGCGATGCTGTTCGACGATTCGGCAGCTGGAACACAGTTTTCAACTTATGGTACGATATCTCGGAGTGTCAAAGGCCTATTCGTTCATGGCGTTCGCGACGGCCAGTCGCAGAGATATGTGAAATACATGACGAATAATGCGGTACTAGGCATAAATATGCTCTCAGCTGATACTTTTAGTCCGTGCGCGTTCTGATTAGTGAATTGCTTATGTCCTGACAGCAACCTGGTGGGTCACTGTGTGTCTGCATGGACCCTACCCTGGCAGACGGTTGGGCGAGGTTCCAATCGGAATCGACGACGGAATCGTATCTATTTTGGGGTCGGCGGCACCGCAGCGGCAACACTAGCAATAACTACGGCTGCTGCAATAATCGCTCCAAAAACAGCAGTAAAACCGTACAGACAGTTGCTTGGTGATCCCCTCCAGCTACTGGTTCGTACAACTCTGATGTGGCCACCGTTGTGCTTTATGCAGTTGGTCGTTTTGTCGGCAATGACTGGTAGGCTCCTCTAGTTTACTTCTATTCCTAAAAAGGTAAAGGGAAACGCGCATGAAAATCGCGATCATCCAGCTAGATGCTGGTAAGAACAGGTACTATAGATAGGACTTCTTCTTTAAGGACTTTTTAGGAATGCAAAGCGTGCAGCGGACAAAATGCCAGTGTGTGGTTCGACTAACCCCGCAACGGGAGTCCATGTTGAGCCAAACAGAGTCGCACAGCAAGCCAGCTTTGTAAGGCCAAAAGAGAAAAGCAAATGGTTGGACGTGAGCCTTCGGCTTACTTGCAGTGAGTAGCGGTGGGGAAATACTAAAAGGAATTGGCTATTCTATTTTTCTACTCCTGCTCCGTCTTGTTCTAATCCACTTTGAGGGTGATACACTGCTGTTGAATTAGGGAATGGCGATTGTGGTTAGGATAACGTTTAGGATTCACCTGTGAGGCACCTGTAGCTAATAAATAGAACAGAATAAAAACATTCAAGAAGGTCAAGTATGGTAAAAGTGAGCATGTTTTTTTCTCTTTTACTAGATATTGCTCTGTGATTTTTGTTAGATCAATTTAATTGCAAAAGTTCCTATAATATAGATAAATAAATAGAGTTTTATTCAATAATAGTGTTCTGTTATATAAAGAGGCCGGAAACCACCTGGCCGCTTATGAAGCTACTGTATTGTCCATATTATCCCCTCCGAAGAATGGCCTCGATCTTCATTCGCTCGAAAAAAATATGCCATCAATGATAGCAGACCGGTGAAGTTTGCGAACCGCAACGAAAATATGTTGGAGGAGGGAGGATCGCCGCTGGCTGTTCCCCTTCCTAACCTTGTGGTCCCCAGTCGAAGCTGTTTTAGAAAGTTACGTTTGCTACTAAATAGTTGCGAGAGAGTAGCCCACTGCTGATAATGACGAGCTAAACCAAGCAGGTACCCAGGCCTGTACCGTTCCATACATTCCTTGTCCCGATCCGCAGAGGAGGTAACTTTTTCAGACAAAGAAACAACAGCCCCCTTAAAAGTGAAGAGGACTATCAAATCATTTCATTCATGTTGGCATATACAATTACCCATACAGAAATTGCGAGAACCCTTTTCTTTTTTATTTTTATTTAAAACAAATAAAAAAGAGAATAGTGTTTAAAATAGGTACACAACCGGGCACAGCGATCTTGTCCTTTTTTTGTCGCCACAGATGGCACCGCTCACTTTACTACGTTTTTTTTTTTATTTTATGTGTAAACAGTAGTAACGAATAGGCACTAGAAATTCGTATTATTATCGTTCAATTAATCTGTTTCCATTACCGACGTATTCATGTCAAGTTCACTCAAAAAAGGTTTTCTGAAGAACCGTAGAATCTTCAGATTTTTACTTCTATCGAGTAACTTCCCTCTCGTCTGTTTTGTATCCTATTTCAGCTCGTAGACGGGGCTCGCTGCCTATTTCTTGCTGATTACGCCTTGTCCACCAGGAACGGTTATTGGCAGCGTTTTTCTTCTGAACAAATCAACTCTTCTATTGCTTGTTCGGTTCTTCTCACTCCAGTCCTCTTCGGACCCAGGCTTAACCATACAGCATCTTCCCTTTGAAATCAGTCTTATCAATGATGCGATTGGCGTATAGTAAACGGTAAGGGAGACCCTTGTTAGTTTTGTATAAACGAGGCCTCATCACCTGCACGTCCGCTGTCCAAAATTAGGTCCCAATGTAATATACACAGGTAAAGTGTAGGCATACGATAGATCGAGTCTTAAGGTAAGTACATAAAACAGAGATACAGCCACCTATCTACTCTGTAGCTCGATCTTAGGTGTATCCGTTATAGTACAAACAACACCAAATGTGTACGGCGGGTCTGTTGTGATACAAGCGGATGGTTAGTCCACTGTACGGGACACATGTTCTATTGGTATCTTGTCTTGGCAAGAATGCATAGTGTCTCTTTTTCGATATGCACGAACCTTGCGTGTTTCTGTTAGCGGGCGTCGTCGACGGACACAAGCGGGCAAAGAGAGGATATTGCTTTTCCGCAAGACCGGCAGCGGCGTTGCCATTGCTTCTCACTGATATCAGCTGGTTAGTGTTCATATCAGCCGGGTGGGCGGCGAGGCATGACGCTGCCCGCTGGTTACGGGCTGCAGTTGTGATCGTCCGATTGCAGCCAACTTCCGGTTATTCGCGGCGGCCATGGTAGGAGCAGTGGAAGCTTCAGCCATCCGAATCTAAAAGAATCGGATCCTACCTGGGTTTCGCATCGGGTCTAAGCCGGAGCTTGTCACAAACACCCAGCGGCGGCTGCTAGGTGATTCAGTTTCGGGCTTAGCTACCATCGACTGCTAGCGAGCTACACGAAGAGTACCCTTCCATTGGTGTGACTTCCGGAGAAGACTTTGCGACACCTGTAACGTAACTCTATATCGTTCTATCCATAGCGATCTCGCTTGTTGAATGTACGCGTGCCGTGATGTTACTGGCCGCGTCTGTGTGTCAACGAACTCGTATATTCCAGCCTATACATGAATGTGTGTATGCTTAAGTAACGATGATTGTGCAAACAGCCAATGGTGTATTATGACGAGATTATCATGGGCCGCTATGAGACGCCTGCCAGAAGCCGATGCTAAGGAGTGTTACTGCTTCTGCCAGAACCGCTAAGCCTATCTGACTAGGTCATCGAAGCTATACTACATAAAAGCAGTGAATGAAACAGCCGATTTGCTCGACTGTATTGTACTCTGGCGATATGCGTATTCTCCATAAATCGCTCTCTTTTATGTTCCGATTACCTGTTTCCCATTTACGTCGTGGTAACACGTAATTATAGAGATATAATATATGGAAGGAACATACATACATACATACATACATACATACACATACACCCGTAGATTCGGATCGCTAGCTAGCACAATATAAATGGCCACGCCTGTCTGTGATATAATTGTAGCACGTGCCATTCGTGCTAGCACAACTGGAACAAACTAAAAACGAGTCGTCGTGTGCTCGTATTGACGTTAATTGATAACGGATATGGGCGAAGCATGCACTGACGGCGTTCGAAATCAGCTGCTACCTTTCGGCTGACCCTGTGCCGACGTAGCGTATCATTCGTGTATCGGCAGTCCAAACGCCTGGTTCTTCATCGCTAAGCTCATACAGCCATAGCGCGGTATCGTCAAACGATTTTTAGTGAACGATGCATTGCACGATGTACACGCATAAACATTTCGGTATGGTAAATTGATGTTGAATCACATTAAAGCCTTCTAACATAAGCGATAACACATTGCGAAGAATGCTGGGCGATATCGAACACGCCTTGACAGTCGAGCAACGATAAATGGACACGTAGGCCTAGTATTCTTACTATAGGATAAAGGAGCACACAATTCAGGCATTTTACTACATTTACTCAGCCGACAAACTTAAAGCTTAATCAAAATAAATATCTAATTTATATATCCAGAATTTACTATATATTTGTTAATTCCAGATCTAACAGTACGTATCCTGAGACCTCAACGTTGCTCTAGAACCTTCGCGTACTTAGATATCATTGTCCTTATAATAGCCTGCCCACTTGTCCATCTGCATACTTGCGTCGCACCCATTGCATCACTGTCGCTGTTTCTCCATTGACCGAATGCTGTTTACTCGGCTTCATGCGCTCGCTATATTTTTCTATTCTCACCTTTGTCTGTCTTACTTTTTTGCTGTCTACCTTTGCGCACCAGGATCTTTTTCCAAAGATGACTTAATAACCTATAGTGGTTTACAAAAATTGCCCTTAGCTTATTGACCTCGTACTTCACTTTAAACATATTTCCCAGTTACTCTCTACCAGAGCAAAGGCTACACGGGTTTAAGATGAAAAAAAATTGACTGCAGAAGTCCTGTTGGCAAAAGTTCAGCGGGCGTTTGGGTGCCAAACGGAAGCGGCCTCGAGCCAGGTGATCGCAGTCATCGGACCAGCTTCTAGCCACTTCGGTGGACAGACTGGATAATGGATGGCAATGCAAGTGAGACTTGTGGAAGGATATTGATTGATAGGGTGGGCGCTGTTTCCGGCGATCTTAAGCTCGGTCCTTGTCCGACCTGGATGGTTTCGAAGTAGATTTTGCTCTACCTAGAGCCCTACACCGCTATCTAAGCAACGACGATCGATGAGCAGTGGACACCCATGAGCAGCGCTTAGCTCCTACTATCCGTGGTAGTGCAGTCCAAAAGCAAAGCACACGAACAACGGCGAAAGGCGCGTAACAGCGAGAGCAGCAGATGAGCTCCGCTTGTCAACATCACTGCCAAGATCACTACCCACTGCCTGATCCCCGGCAAAATTCATTGATAAAAAAAAGAGAAAATTAACCGGTTAGTAAATTAGTAGATCCGCTGGGTGAGACCGAGACGTTAAGATCGTCAAGAAGATTCGAACCCCGAAAAGATATTCACTATAGTTTTTAACGCGCACTTTTATTTTGACTATGCAGCACG